AATCCGTGCGATAGAGAAAGATGGCTATAATGAAGGCGTCTAATAGTCACCGCCCATTTCGCCCTTCCACAAATAAGAAGTGGATCTTATTTGTGGAAGGGCGAAATGGGCGGTGACTATTAGACGCCTTCATTATAGCCATCTTTCTCTATCGCACGGATTTCTATGACTTTCTTTATCGCTCTCACGTAAAGGCCGATGAACCATGGGGACTTTCCGACCCTGTATACTACGCTACAGTCTATAGAAATGGGTAAAATCACACTGCAGAGGCTCTCATAACAGAATGTCATAAAAACTTTTTGTTTTCTAAATCTTTTGATAATGCAATATTTCGTCCTTGTTCTGATTTACTAAAAACAAGTATCACATATAATTTACAAGAGGAAAATAAGAATATGTACATACAAACAAGTAAAAAGAAATTATGGAAATACAATTTCTGATACGATGGAACAACTATTAAAGGAATTTTTTTTTTATACGACAAAGCAAACTGGTTCCAATTACATTTCAATTAAAATTTATGAAATAAATGTATGTAGTGTTAATGTTAATGATAATGAAGGGTATATCATCTGGCAGTTATATTTATAACCTTTCCCATCTTGACGTGTTCAACTAGAATTATTATAGATTAGACGTAATTACTAAACTGTCCCCCACAAATTGCCTTTTGAATTTGAAGAAATGTATTCGTTTAAAAATGAATCAATAACCATGAAATTGACATTTTTGTTCATGTAATTTTTTCCTTGAACGGAGAGCAAGGTTTTTATTTCACTACAGAAAATTAACATTATTTAAAATTCCTGCGTAGTACCGACGTTTATAATTCTTCATTATAATAAGTTCTTATAAGAACTAAAAAATAATGATTTACGTTTATTGAAGGCCAATGGAAGTTTTTTTCGCAATTAGAAATAATTGTATTAATTTATGCACTGCGTAACAAATATTTTTGCAAGTTTTGAAGTCGTAGATGCGCATGAAAATTAAATAAATATAGCGTTTCAACTTTTTATTAAAGGCAAATTACAGGTTCGATTTTAATTTAAACAATCTTTAGAAATAGATACTTAATTTATGAAAAAGTAAGGATTGTTTGTATACAGGGTGATTCACAAATGGTGACCAAAAATGAAACTTTGTAATCTTTGGCGAATTTTAAGGGGTCTTTCCTATAAAGGTTTTATATAGGACGCTTCGTTAAAAAGATACAGGGTGTTAAACTTCAAAAAATATTTTTAATTTTTTTAAATAATTTAAAAACTAGTATGTAAGTGAAATAATTTGAAATTGGGCACATGTATTTATGTAAACATTTTTCAAAATCTGAGGGCTTTTTCTAAAATTTGCATGCTCCAGTGGCAGAGATACAGGGTATCGGTGGCATATTTTTCTAAATAAAATAGTACGCCACTGCTTTACGGTAATAATCATGATATTTTCAGATTCCCCTTTCAATTTTCTACAAATTACTACTCTCATATGTTTTAAAAAAGCATGATTTTCGAGTAAAACTTAAAAAACCAACTAAATACATGTGCGCAATTTCAAATTATTTCAATTACCAGGTTTTAAATTATTTAAAAAAATTAAAAATATTTTTTTAAGTTTAACACCCTATATCTTTTTAACGAAGCGTCCTAGATAAAAACTTTATAGGGAAACAATCCCCTATAAATTCATCAAAGAATACGTTTCATTTTCGTCATCATTTGCGAATCACCCTGTATATAAGGTGGTTTCACTTTAAGTACAGAAACTGCAGAAATGGATAAACTGCCAAAAAAATAAGAGTTTGCTCTATAAACTTTTTTCTGAGGGATGCGGTATTCGAGATACAGGGTGTAAAGTTTACAAAAAAATATATCTTCTGTCATATCTTCATAAAGCGCTGACGGAATTGAATCAAATTTATTACCGTGTATTTACTTAATTAGACTAAATAATAATAAAAGTATTTATTAAAAACATTTCGTAGTTAATTGCAAAAAATAAAAAAGGTATAGCCCCACTATCAAATAACACTTAAATCCAATATCAGATTGGGAATAAAAAATAAAGTCGTCCATTTATATTAAGCAAAGCAACGCCTAGAATTCATGGAACGCTCCGTATAATAAAAATAATAGAATACCTATGTACAAATTGTTGATGTTACTAAAATGGGCTAGAATAAATGGGATACCCTGTATAACAAAAAATAATTTAAAAATGTGTAGAAATTTATTGGACGACTTTTATTTGGAATGAGTTTATTAAGAGATGTTATTAATATTATTTAGTTTATTTCATTTTTATTCAATTTGCTGCCTGTAGAAATAAATTTGTGGTATTTAGTAACCTTACTCGAATGTTATGTAAAATGTACAGCTTAGAATTTTGAAAGGTTCTTTTCTCAAAAACTAGACTTGAAAGCACAAAAATAACAGATGTGTTACACATACTTGAAAATATAGGGTAGGCAAAATTTTATACATTTTTGAGAGTTTTACCCGTAACAAATTATTCAGTTTTTTTTAATAATTAATCGTTTCTAAAGTACAACTAAAAATTGAACAACTTCAATAAAAATTAAAAAAAAAAAACAAGAACTGACCTTGATAATATCCAATTCTTCGTCTGAAGACTCGGCCAAAACGTCTTCATTGTCCGATATGAAGGAATCATCTGAGCTGCTGTACTCATCCCCGTCCCCGCTCGCATCAGACTCCTCGTCACTTTCCGCCTTCAAAGCCTTCCTCCTGCGTAACTTCGACTTGGACCTCTTCCTCCCGCCATTCATCAGATCCTTCAGGATCCCGTTTCCCCTGGCATTTTTCACCGTCTCGCTCAGCGGGTAGTTTAAAACGCTCTCTGCGATATGCCCCGTTACGTTCTGTATGAGCTGGGAGTAAATAGCCAGGGTGAAAGCCACGACGGCTGACAATTGGGGCGAATTGGTTGAGCGCAGTTTCGATATGCACAGGAGGCAGATAATAACGATTTTGAAGAGCATATCGCTGCCGAGGAACGAGGGGACAGACTCGGTTTCGATGGATTCCGTGTCGGTGGGGGTTTCACCTGATTCGCTCGAGGCCGGTTTGGAATACGACAGGCACTCTTCGAGGTTCTTGTATGTTTGATGGCATAAGCTGTAGACTTTCGCTACCTTCTTGTCAAAGTACCAGATATCGATCAACAAGAGGAACCGAGCAAGGAAACGTTTGATATTCTCAGACTTACCAGGCTCGATAATGCAATCCGCGTTCTGACTTTCGTCAGGCAGCTGCTCTATAAACTTGGAGTTCTTGTCGAATAACCCATGGAGGTTATTTGTTGTACCTTCAAAAGAAAATTTACATGCCAGGCAGCGCATGTAGTGATAAACGGCTTCTAAAAATTGGTTTTGGTTCATGGCTAACGTTCCCATCTGGTTATGGGGCATGCCGTAGTCAGGCTTGTAGGATATGGCTTGTAAATAGTACCTTATAGCGACCGTGGGCTCCCAATTCGGGTAAATTTCCAATTTGTACCTGCTGAGATCACCCAAATAAATCAGGCATTGGTGTATAGACTGCTTAGCCCACTTGAGGGCCTCGGAATTGACTTCACTGGAATCTTTGTTCTCTTCGTGCAATACTGCAAAGTCGATGGCATTTTTAAAACCCAGGTGGAACTCACACTGTAATTTGGATATAATGTGGTGGTAGAACCCGATACCTGCATTGATATGAGCTTGGATGTTTGATATATCTTCGGGTAGGTATTCCTTCTTTTTTAGCTTTTTTGCAGTAGCGATTACGTCATAATAACCTTTGCGCCATAGCAGTTCTTCGCCTTTCCTTCCATACAGGACTGGGTCTGAAAATATTAATCGTTCGCAGTATTCACAGAATTTCCTACGTAACACTTGTAAATTTGGAGTAAATAAGTCTCCGATACTCCGGGCGCAGCTCCTAGCATCGTCCAAGCGTTTGGCTTGTTCGCTGATAGTTCTGAAAACGAATTTAGAACAATGAGAATATAGATAATTCTGGAATTGAGGTTATGTTTCTATTGCACATTTCTAAGCAAGCCATGAAAATAAATTCCGAAATTCATACGTCATACTCACCGATATAATTTTTTTGAGAGCTCTTGGCCCTGTTTTTGGTGAATGTCTGTTGAGGTGTACGTTTTCTTCATTTCAACTCATTGCACTTTTTTATCCTGGTCAAGAATTCAACAAACTTTTTTCTATATTAATCGACTCCAGGTTGTAGGTTGTAAAATAAATCATTGTTAGTTCATAATTAATTTCACAAGTGTATTTTGACACCATCACAATTTCTTATCAAACTACATGAACTGTTCATGGCCAAATAATAAATATTCAATAAATTTCTTACTCACATCTGTCGGAAATTTTAGGCACTCTTGGATTTTTCCCTTGAAAAAATGAGACTACTCCTGCCACCTATGATCGAATGGATAATATGCATACTCTGCCCTTTAAAACAGTATACGTTCCCAGAACAAAAATTTATATACGTCATTTCACTAGTTTAAAAATTTGAGCAGTACCTTTACCTTATCTATAGAATAACTTTTAATTTTGATCTGATGTTTAACTATAAAAAAGAAATACTTTTTGGCATTTGACAATTTGAATAATTTGAAACATCAACACTGGTGCCGTCCTCTTGTGACTGCTATTTGTACTTGGTCTTAGTATTGACAGTTTAAAAACCTTGACAGAAGTGGTGAAAAATGGCTACGGGGGCGGCTGAATTTAGGCAAGATATGCCACCCCCAGGGGGGTACAAACCGATACATTACCAGAGAATACCCGCACGACAATATTTTAATGGTATAAGACAAGTTTCAACTCAATTTTCTTTTATTACGTAACACATAACCTCCAATATGATCTAATGTTTACTGATTTATTTCAGGATGGGCTCTCTTTGGAGGCTACATAGCCGTGACTGCTGGTGCTGCTTACCTCTATTATCTGAACTGCAAGGTAGTGCACGCTGAGGAAATTGAAATGAGATCAGCTAGCTTTGCAATTTACCCCATGTTGCTCGCAGAGAGAGATCGAGAGTATCTGAAGCAGTTGCGAAGGAACAGGGATGAAGAAACTAAGTTAATGGCCAATGTCGAGGGCTGGAAAACTGGCACCTGGTATGGTGAACCTATTTATACCACTCAGCCAAAGGATACGTTGATCAATCCAAGAGCGCAGGAATACTACATACACGCCTCGTTTAGGGACTTTTCAAAGAGGGCAAACATTGGGTTGTTGTCATAAGTTGTCCCAGATTTGTAGTTAATTGTATTGCTTGAAATTGTTATAACTTAATATATGTTTTTAAGAATGCATCTCTTTATTTTACATTAAAATTTCCAGTATAATATAAATATTAAACTGCGATTCGTGTCAAGATGGGCTCAAATTTCAAAGTTCGTTTTTTCACAAGTGACCATCTTAGTTGTGGTCTTTTTTTTAGTTACAGGTTTACCTCTCAATTATAACGCTAACAAAAAAATTTCATTAATTCAATTTTTATTATCTAAAAGTGAAAGAACAACATTTTTCCACAGAATTTAAAATGTCCTGTACAGTTTGTCATTTACAGCAGCGAATGCCTACGTAAATCAATTAACTATAGTTCTATCTGTTCTAAACAATTTATTTCATTATTTCTACTGTTAATTAACAAGACAGGCTATAGGCCCATCAAAAGCAAATTCATTTTGCATTAACAGTAAATTTTTAGGTAAGTAAATTTCTATTAAACGCTTTGTTAAAATTTATAGAATTAAAAAAATGTGGAACGCTTCACGATTTTGCGTGTCATCCTTGCGCAGGGGCCATGCTAATCTTCTCTGTATCGTTCCAATTTTAGTATATGTACCGCCGAAGCGAGTACAATGAGAGTTATGAAATTAATATATATAAACTTAATAGATGTGCATTAGTGTCAGTGAGATAAAACTTGAATATATTATTAAACTTATAAAATATATATAAAAACTATATGAAGTTTGCAATTATAAAATATATACAAACAGGACAACTAACTGCATGTGTTATTATGTGATATTTATAATTATTATTTAAAATAATTGTTAGTTTATGCTATTCCACATATTAAAGCAAAGAAGGAAACTACTTCTAACAAGTATTAAGTCTCTCACTTCTCGCTAGGTGGGGCTAGCATTATAAAATATGAAAGCTTGCTATCACCTGCTTCATTTCAATTTTCAATCTTTGATATTGTTTTCACGTTACAATGTGTTTAAAATTCTCAAAATTATTGAAAAAGTTTGTTGACGACCTTAATTATAAATGTTGAAACTATTGAGGAACAAAATGGATAGTAAGTAGGTAATCCCCGACTTCGCTGTTCCCAAATAAATATGAACCTTACTAGTTATAAAAGTAAGAAATAACAGTAATTTTAAATTCATTTTTATATTATCAAATCGTTATTGTCGCCCTGTAGAAAATGTGGGGTTATATTTCTATGGTTCCGGAACGGAAAGGAGATATCGAACAAACGACAGGTGGTAAGTTCAATCACAGTCGACGTTGACAAGAAAAATTAGAAGCATCAAACTGACGCGTAACGCCATTTTCTCATTCAGTGATGGAAAATCAGTTCGGGTGCCACGAAGAGGCCGAGGAAAAGGACGACGACAGCTTAATTGATAAATGCTGGACGGCCAAATATAAAGGTGACAGCAGGAAGTGGCTGATACGAGACGCGTCCTACAAGAAGCCGCGAGGTCCTTTGGTGACTTCCATGAAAGCGGCGTTTCCGATACCTGAAAATAATCAGAACAAATGGGAACACTTAGGTGAGTACCAATTTGATTCTTAGTTTTGCCTAGTTTAAATTTAAAACTGGGGGGGTTGAACTGACGTCGGTGGACATAAACCTCCATAAATTTTAATAGACATGTCAACGGTAGATGGCGGGGAATATAGACAGGTCTGCCAATGTTACAGGAAATAATTTTACCTGCAAAGACATTGACAAAGTTAAGGGCCCCATAGTCTTTAAATAGTGTTTTCCACAAAGACGAATAATTTCAAACATTTAATAACTGAATAATCTAAAGCTGATCAAATAATAGGAATGTTATGTCATGCCATCTCGTTATTTTCAAAGACGCCGCGGTAAAACGAATAAACACTAAACAGGTGCAAAAAACGATCAAACCATCAAGGTTTTAGATACTGAACTCTACGAAAATACTAACTTTATTATATATAACTCTACATGTAAATATTTTTATAACATTTACTTGCTTAGTCCTACATATAAAATTGTTTACTTTTATTTATAAGTACGTGAAAATAATTCTTAAAATGTGGGGTTAGGATAACAGCAAACGCATGTTTTACAAACGCTTTTTTCTTAGTTATTATTTTATTTGAGTAAATTTAAATAGTAACAATGAATAAACAGAACACTAAGGATTTTATTTTTGTGCTTAACTTTTGTTGTACACGTTTTAGTTTTCAAGATTTCAGTACCTAAAAACGCCAGAAATTTGACTATTTCTCGGCCAGGGATATGGCCACCTTAAGGTGGTTAAGCCGCATTCAAATACATATTATTTGCCTTCTTTCTTATTGGTTACAAAATAGTCTTTTTATTAAACAACGAATAACAAGCCTTTAGATTGTAAGCGGATATGGGTCAGATATTGTAGAATTTTTTAGTCGTGCTTCAAGTCGAAGAATATTTTTTATATAAAGTTTATATGGAAAGTATTTGTCATTAATTTAACTCTTTATATCTAGGGTTAATTTGAGAACTGAATTAGTAAAAAGGTTAAAGCATATCATTGGTATTGTAGTAGAGCTGTCTGGTTATATTTGAAAATTAGTTATTACGTAGTAGTCCAACCAAATTACTCTTGGAGAAAAAAAAATTGTTACCTGGACTTCTATAAGTGGAAATTGTAAAAGGGCTTATAATAAAAATAAACCTAAAAAAAATAAAAAAATAAATATGTGAGCAGGGGCGGCGGAGGGTTGATTTGGGGGGTTGAAAAGTTTTGAAAAATTGTATCATTGGGATTTCTGGCGAAAGTTGACGTTAAACAAAAAAGTATCTAATACAAAAGTTGTAGATCATGTAAAAATCTACAACTTTTGTAGAGGTCACTTTTTATCATAACCTCAAAATTTCCGAGAAAAATGCGAAAAACAGTTTTTTTCTGATTTTTCGTTTTTTATTTCTCATTTCCGCAAAAATAATTTAATTTTGACGAAACTTTGCGGAAGTATACCTTTCTCTGTCTTAAATAAGCTCATTTTTTTAGATAAAAAAAATCAAGAAGTTTCTGAGATATTAGTTTTTTTCGGCCTGAAACACTTTTTCAAAGAAAAATTCTACTTAAAAAAACTATCGTACAAAGTTCTGCTGGTAATCATTTTTTTCGTTTTGACATATACTTTTTGGTGAAATAAAAAAATTTGTAACCACAGTTCAAAAACATGCTCAAAAATGCAAAAAAGTAAAAAAATCAAAAACTGATTACACCATTCAATCGTACGGAAAGAATACAAAAAAAACTGTCTCATTGTTTGACCCAAAACTATTTTTGTACTTACAGTATTGCTATAAACATAAGTCAAATAATGAATAAATAAAATAAATAATTATTATTTTTCCGTAGGATCGATTAGTGTACTTATTTTTTTTAAAGCTTGATGAATTCATAGATATACAGTGTGTCCAAGATAAGGATGGGATAGCATTAGGATCTAGGAAACGGTAAGAGATACGGGGTGGCTCAGATTAGAAAAAAGTAAAGTTAAATTAAATTGTTGAACATTTTGTGCTGTATTGACTTATTCTCTCTCTTTCTCTCTTTCTCTCTTTCTCTCTCTCTCCCTCTCTCTCTCTCCCTCCCCCTCCAATAGATACAGGTATTTTGAAAGCGTTCAGAGCCCGTACTCAGGAAAAATTTTTAATGATAGCTAAAAACCTTTTTAAGCGAATACAATAGTAATATCACCTAATACAGAATTAAAAATGACTAGATAATGTCATAAAAATAGCAGCGATATATTTAAAAAAAATAATCTGATGATGGCCCCTCGAAGACGAAACGTCGGATTGCAAAAATGTTGATGCCATTGGATAGAGCGAAAAAAGTGGCAATGTAAATATGCAATTTATTTAAAATGCTTTTTCAAATAAAGCCAGAAAAAAATAAAACGATTTTGTAAACTTTGGGTTTTCGGATTTCGGGTCAAGAGTAGACTTTGCAGTTAATACTTTGTATTGCTGAAATCTCAAATCATCCAGAGATAATTTATCATTTGTGCATTTGTAATTCGACTTAGATGTTTATAGCAACACTGTACAAAAATAAAGTTTTGAGTCAAACAATGAGACACAGTTTTTTTTATTTTTTTCCGTAGAATTGAATGATGTAATCAGTGTTTGAATGTTTTTTAATTTAAACAAATAATTATCAACAACAACTGAAAAATTCATTGTTGCAAGTCATTTTTTATTTTTTTGCATTTTTGAGCATATTTTTGAACTGTTATTACATTTTTTTAATTCACCAAAAAGTATATGTCAAAACGAAAAAAATGATTATCGGCAGAATGATTTTTTTAAGTAGAATTTTTCTTTGAAAAACAGTGTTTCAGGCCGAAAAAAACTAATATCTCAGAAACTTCTTGATTTTTTTTTATCTAAAAAAAATGAGCTTATTTAAGACAGAGAAAGGTATACTTCCGCAAAGTTTCGTCAAAATTAAATTATTTTTGCGGAAATGAGAAATAAAAATCGAAAAATCAGAAAAAAAAAACAGTTTTTTACATTTATTTTGGAAATTTTCAGGTTATGTTAAAAAATGACTTCTACAAAAGTTGTAGATTTTTGTATGATCTACAACTTTTGTATTAGATACTTTTTTGTTTAACGTCAACTTTCGCCAGAAATCCCAATGATACAATTTTTCATAACTTTTCAACCCCCCAAATCAACCCTCCGCCGCCCCTGCTCACGCATTTATTTTTTTTTCATTTATTATGAGCCCCTTTACCATTTCCATTTATGAAAGTCCAGGTAACAATTTTCTTTTTTTTTCCCTCTAAATGAGTTATTTTGATCGNAAAATAAAATATGAATTTTTTGCGTTACTTCTGGGACGCACTGTATATAATTACACTAATTTCTATATTTTTATTGCCCAATATGTAATTTGTAGATTGTTGATTGTAAATATTATATTTGTATTATACTAACTTAGGTATATAATTTTTATTTATTGTCTTTCTCTTTGTATTTATTATTTACCAGTAGGCATACCAATAAATTTACAGTTTGTAGAGGACAATAGTA